GCCCCCCCCCATCTCTCTCTCTCTCTCTCTCTCTCTCTCTCTGTCGCACTTCCAGGAGGGAGGGCTCCGGCTCCGGCGGTGCTAACTGCCAGGGCAAGCTTCAAGCGCAAGGGCCTGAGGAGGTTATATGAGCCGTGCCGTGCAGCAACAATTTGGTTTTGGAGCGCCCCAGCCGACTGCCGAGTGCCTCCGCAGAGAGCCAGGCAACCTGCGAGCGGGCACGGCGCCGAGTAGGTAGGCAGCCGGTGCGCTCCCGAGCACAGCGGCGGCCTACCCGCCCGGCGCCGTGGCGGGACGCGTGCACTACCTCCGCAACTCGGTGCGGCGGAAATATTGCGCAATGCGGGCAAAGCGTACGGCACCGCGGCCGCGGCGTCTGCAGAAACAAAACCATCCCCAAACACAAAACGAGCAGCTGTGCGGGGGCCTGGGGGCAGCGAGTGGAGTGGCAGTCCCGACAGCGCGAGCCGAGCTGCTCCTCCGGGGCCTCGGGCAAACAAGGCGACGGGCCGCTTGCGCACGAAGAAGAAGAGAGTTGGGCCACCGGGGCGGGCGGCCGCGCCCAACGCGCGCCCCACAGTGTCATCGGGGAAGTGCGCAGCGGCCGCCGAGGGGAGGGGAGGGCGCGAGACCGCTAAGGGCAAAGCGCGGCAAATGTGAGCATTTGAAGAGTTATGGGCACGGAGGGCGGAGGGGGGAGTGAGAGGCACATTAGACTTGGGACCGTAAATCAAACACCAACCCTGCTGCACTCTTGAGCTGCAACAACGCGCGGCCAGGCAAGGCAGAGGCCTACGAGATGGGCGTGGCGGTGGTGTTGGTGTTTGTCCTCCAGGACGCAACCGTTCGTTCGGCCACGCCCCGCCCCGCCCCGCCACGCCCCACCACGAGGCTCGGTCAGCGCGTCGCGACACGAAATGCTTTGGTCGTTAAGAAATAATAAACGGTCGCGGACCGAAACTCGACGCCATCACTCACAGCTCCGTCAGTGTTTTTAAAAAGAAACTTAAAGAAACACAGTCTCTCTCTCTCTCTCTCTCTCTCCTCTCTCTCTCTCTCACACACACACACACTCGGAAAGGCGCGACAAAAGCCCACGAAATTGTTATTATTGGTGGAACCCCGGGGACGTGGAAAAAGACCGCACATGTGTGAGTGTGAGAGTGGACGCTCTACTGGCTCTACTGCGCTGCACTGCTCCACTGAGTTTCGTGTTGGTGTGTGCGCGCGCGCGTGTGCGTGTATTTGTGTGTGTGTGAGAGCGTGCGCATGCTCTCACAATTCATTTAATTTAATTACTTTTTTAAAAAT